CGAGACTCCATCTCAAAAAACAAACAAACAAACAACAAAAAGACGGGGTTTTGCCATGTTGGCCAGGCTGGTCTCAACCTCCTGACCTCAGGTGATCGTCTGCCTCAGCCTCCCAAGATGGTGGGATTATAGGCATAAGCCACCACGCCCGGCCCACTCTATTTTCTTTTTATTCCCTAAATTTTAATATGTTTGAGTTTGTCTGTTCCTTTATCACTTTTTTCTTACATAAAAATTCTGCCTAATCCTTCGTGAAAAAAAAAATCTTCCTGTGACTTGTGAAAATGTTCTGGTTTTATCTTTCATGGAATGCTTTCTCTAATAGTGTACTTGACATCTTCATTTGGATGTCTGACAAGAACTTGAACTACCTTGTCTAAACCAAATTACTCATCTTTCCTTCCATCCCCAAATCTGTTTCTCCTACAGTCTTTCGTTTTGTTAATGAACACTTCAGACTTTCAGATGCTTAGACGAAAAACATAAACATTTTCTCTCTTTCACATCTCATCTCAGCAAATTTGAGAGACTGTGTCTTCAAAAACATACATAATCTAATCCCTTGTCATCACTTCTGCCATACCTGTCTAAACTTCTCCATTTCTTGCCAGGATAATTGCCATCAACTCCTAATTATTTTTTCTAGTTCTTCACGTTCCCCTGATGTATTCTCAAGGTAGCAGCCAGAGAGAGCCTGTTAAATGCAAATTTGATCATGCCATTCTTCTGCTCCAGATTTTTCAGTGGCTTCTCAACTCATTCAGAGTAAGGCCAAAATCCTTATGAAGTCCTATAATCATCTGAGTGATCTGATTTTGTCTGCCTGTCTGTCCTAAAATGCCTGGCTCCTCCCATGCGAGCAACATTGGCCTTTGTGTCACTTCTTGAATATGCCAAGCATTACCTCAGGGATTTCATACTTGTGTTCTTTCTTCTTGGAATGCTCTTTCTCAGATATCAACACTAAACGTTACCACTCCTCAAATATCACTAAATCACTAAGTCATTGAGGTCTCCAATACTGCCTTGTTTAAAGAGAAATCTCACTTCCCTCTGCAGTTTTTAATTTTTTTAGATTTTATTTTAGGTTCAGAGGTACATATGCAGGTTTGCTATATAAATAAATTTCATGGCATGGGAACTTGGAGTATAGATTATTTCATCACTTGGGTGATAAGCAGAGTACCTGATAGGTGCTTTTTGATCCTCACCCCCTCCTGCCCTCTGTCTTCATGTAGGGCCTGTTGTCTGTAGTTCCCTTCTTTGTCTCCACATGTATTTAATGTTTAGCTCCCACTTACAAGTGAACATGTGGTACTTGGTTTTCTGTTTCTGTCTTACATTCCCACAAGCAGTATAAATGCACAACCTTGACAGAGTGTGTTTTTTTGTTGTTGTTTTTGTTGTTTGTTTTGTTTTGTTTTGTTTTTAGTAATAGCCATTCTGGGGGATGTGAGAGGGTATCTCATTGTGGTTTTGATTTGCATTTCTTTAATGATTAGTTCATATTGAGCATCTTTTCATATGCTTGTTGGCTGTGTGTATGTCTTCACGTGAAAATTGTCCATGTCCTTTATTCACTTTTAAATGGGGGTGTTTGTTTTTTGCTTGCAAAATCAAGTTCCTTATAGAGTCTGGATATCAGGACTTTGTCAGATACATAGTTAGCAAAATATTTTTGCCCATTCTTCAGGTTGTCTGTTTACTCTGTTGATAATTTCTTTTCTTGTGCAGAAGCTCTTTAGTTTAATTAAGTATTCCATTTGTCAGTTTCTGTTTTTGTTGCAACTGCTTTTGGCATCTTTGTCATGAACTGTTTGCCAGGTCCTATGTCCAGAATGGTATTTCCTAGGTTATTTTTCAGGTTTTTTTTTTTTTTTTCTTTTTACAGTTTTAGGTTTTACACTTTAGTATTTAATCCAGCTTGCTTTGATTTTTGTATATATATAATGAAGGTGTCCAGTTTCAGTCTTCTGCATGTGACTAGCCAGTTATCTCAGCATTATTTATTGAATAGGGAGTCTCTCCCCATTGCTTGTTTTTCTTAACTTTGTTGAAGATAAGATGGTTGCAGGTGGGTGGCATTATTTCTGGGCTCTCTATTCTGTTTCCTTGGTCTATGTGCCTGTTTTTGTAACAGTGCCATGCTGTTTTGGTTACTGTAGCCTTGTAGTATGGTTCAAAGTTAGGTAATGTGTCTCCAGCTTTGTTCTTTTTCCTTGGGATTGCCATGGCTATTTGGGCCCTTTGTTTAATTCCATATGAACTTTAAAATAGTTTTTTCTACTTTGGTGAAGAATGTCATTGGTAGTTTGTCAGAAATAGCATTGAATCTATAAATTACTTTGGGCAGTATGGGCATTTTAGCAGTATTGATTCTTTCTATCCATGAGCTCAGAATGTTTTTCCATTTATTTGTGTCATATTTGATTTCTGTGAGCAATGTTTTGTAATACTCTTTGTAGAGATATTTCACCTCCTTGGTCAGCTGTATTCCTATATATTGTTTTCCTTTGCAGCTATTGTGAAAGGGATTGCCTTCTTTATTTGTCTCTGCCTGGATGTTGTTGATATATAGGAATGCTACTAATTTTTGTACATTGACTTTGTTTCCTGAGAATTTGCTGAGTTTGTTTATAAGATCAAGGAGATTTTGGTCAGAGACTGTTGGAATTTCTAGGTATTGAATTATATTGTCTGCAAACAGGGATAGTTTGACTTCTTCTCTTCCTATTTAGATGACTTTTATGTCTTTCTCTTGCCTGATTGCTTTGGCCAGGACTTCCAGTACTATTGATTAAGAGTGGTGAGAGAAGATATCCCTGTCTAGTTCCTATCTTCCAGGGGAATACTTCCAGTTTTGCTTATTCGATATGATGTGGCCATGTTTGTCATAGGTGGCTCTTATTATTATGAAGTATATACTTTCCATTCCTAGTTTGTTGAGAGTTTTTAATATGAAGAGATGTTGAATTTATTGAAAGCCTTTTCTGAGTCTATCAAGATGATAATGTGGTTTTTATTCATTAGTTCTGCTTATGTGATGAATCACATGTATTGATCTGCATATGCTGAAACAACCTTGTATCTTAGTGATAAAGCCTAATTGATTATGGTGGATTCGCTTTTTGATGTGCTTCTGGATTCAGTTTGCTAGTATTTTGTTGAGTACTTTTTCATCTATGTTTATTAAGGATATTGGTTTGAAGTTTTCTTTTTTTGGTTGTGTCTCTGCAAAGTTTTGGTATTAGGGTGCTGCTGGCTTTATAGAATGAGTTAGGGAGGAGTGTCTTTTCCTCAATTTCTTAGAATAGGTTCTGTATAAATCGTACAGTGCTTTGTTATATGTTTGGTAGAATTCAGCTGTGAATCTGTCTGGTCCTGGGCTTCTTTTGGTTGGCAGGCTTCACTTGGGTAATGAGGCGGTTTGGTTTGAAGGCTCAGAGCCCCATTTCTACATTATAAGCAAAATAAAAATTAATTCATGGATTACAAGGGTGTACCTGTAGTTGAGATACTATATTTTATTTATTGGAATGGCATTTTGAGATCCAGTGCTGTTCATTGAATTTTCCTGTAAGGAGAGCTTGTGAGTCTCAGGAATATTTACAAAAATGTTGGATATTTTAACGAAATGTCAAATATTTAGACATTAAGTAGACTTGAGAGTAACTTTAACAAAGGTCTAAGCATGAGAGATATGTTTGATATATTTTTATGGACTAAAAACCCTGAGAGAGAAAATAGGACTAATTTCACCAGGATGACCTCCTGGAAATTCATTTTCCATTTTGGAAATTATTTTTAAAATTCATTTTTTCTGGATAGGTGTATGTATGTGTGTGTGCCTGTCTATATGTGTATGTTTTATGAACTTGTTAACAATAATGTCATACAAAAGAACTGGTTAGCAGGAGTAAGATTTTAAGGTGTATTGGCCTTCCCATGGTTCCCAAGAAAACTTTCGATGATTTTGATTAAAAAGTTTGGATTCTGTCTATTTAAATCTAGCATAAAAATTGGTCATAGTGATGATCCTAGTAATGACTAATTTCCCTTTAAGATTTAGATGTTTACTGTATGAACTATGTGGTACATTTTCCATAACTAACAGGTAAAGTTGCTGAACACAAATTATGGAGATGTGAAACGAGGAAAACATTGCAACACACGAAAGAGAATATGTCTTTATTTGCATGCTGGCAAACGAAAATTCAAGTTTCACTTCAACTTCAGTATGAATATTTCCAGTCTCTAACAAGAACAGACATTGAATAAATGAGTTAAGTTGAGCTGTTTGAAAATTAGAATGTTTTCCATAAATACATTATCGAATTCATCAATTAGCATAAATTTGTACTTTCTTGTTTGACACTGGTCACAATATTTGAAAGTAAAAAGAATGTTACTGCACATTCAGAAATCAGGTGCACATAAAATTTAAGGTCAGGATATTAAAGGAATCACAGCCAGTGTTGTTAAGCCTTCATTTTTTCTATCTTTTTGTCTGTTCAGACAAGATAACTTTTCTACCCATATTTTCCATTCTAGTAGTGGTTACGTTTGTTCTCGGAAATTTTGCTAATGGCTTCATAGCATTGGTAAATTCCATTGAATGGGTCAACAGACAAAAGATCTCCTCTGCTGACCAAATTCTCACTGCTCTGGCAGTCTCCAGAGTTGGTTTGCTCTGGGTAATATTATTACTTTGGTATGCAACTGTTTTGAATCCAGATTCATACAGTTTAGCAGTAAGAATTACTACTACTAATGCCTGGGCAGTAACCAACCATTTCAGCATCTGGGTTGCTACTAGCCTCGGCATATTTTATTTGCTCAAGATTGCCAATTTCTCCAACTTTATTTTTCTTCACCTAAAAAGGAGGATTAAGAGTATCATTCCAGTGATACTACTCGGGTCTTTGTTATTTTTGGTTTGTCATCTTGTTGTGGTAAACATGGATGGGAGTATGTGGACAAAAGAATATGATGGCAACGTGAGTTGGGAGATCAAATTGAGTGATTCAACGCACCTTTCAGATATGACTGTAACCACGCTTGCAAACTTAATACCCCTTATTCTGTCCCTGATATCTTTTCTGCTGTTAATTTGTTCTTTGAGTAAACATCTCAAGAAGATGCAGCTCCATGGCAAAGGATCTCCAGATCCCAACACCGAGGTCCACATAAAAACTTTACAAACTGTGATCTCCTTCCTCTTGTTACTTGCTATTTACTTTCTGTCCCTAATCACATCAATTTGGAATCTTAGGAGGAGGCTGCAGAAAGAACCTGTCCTCCTGCTTTGCCAAACTACTGTAATTATATATCCTTCATTTCATTCATTCACCCTAATTTGGGGAAGCAAGAAGCTAAAACAGACCTTTCTTTTGATTTTGTGTCAGAGTAGGTGCTGAGTGAAAGACCTGAAACTCTCAAATTTCTAGATTCACAAGTGGGACATCGTGTGTCTCCAAGAGAAAACAAACTGATGCTGTCTGGAATATTTTATGCTTTCTACTGGTTTTTCTGTATTGTATATTTTTGAGTAATTTCCAAAAGTATATCTAGAAAAGTCTTTTACCTAAAGTTAGTCTAAAAAGTATCTATATATGCATGTGTATGTGTATATGAAACACTGAAGAGAGAGTGACAATAACATAATCTTAATCATTTTTTATAAACTGCCAAATTATAGAAAATATAAGAAATTTTTCAGAATCATGAAGCCATGTGTATTTCACATATACATTTCATATTATCATATTTCATTTGAAAAATTTATCATCTCTATTTTTAATTGTTAAGAACTTGCAGCTTATTTCACAAAATCATTTCTCTTTTCCACTGTTATTTGTACCATACATAGGTACCATAGTGTGCTTAAACATGATTATTTTAACTTCTAGTTTTTTGGATGGTATGAGCATTCTATCCTAAATCAATAATGAGGTTTTATCCTTGGGGTAGTTTTTATTTCATAATTAATGAATTCTAATTTTATGTTCAGTTTAAAGCAAACAATTATTGTTAGAAAACTGTGCACAAAATAAAATTCAAGAATGACAAATATATTTGAAATACATTTTGTATATGTCTATCATAATCAGTACTGAGGAATATTATATTTTATACAAGTATGTGAACAACTGAGAAAAAAGTCATATCTGTAATAGGGATGAAGAAAGAAACACAATGCTGACCTCTTAAGTACTGTCATAAGTCTCCATAAACAATCAGAAAAGTCATTTCTCCCAGTTTTTGAGGTAAAGAAAAGCTTTTTGGAAATTGAGATCTGATACCAAATATTTCAATTTTTTTTTCCTAAACCATTTCAGAGTTCCTGAATTGCCAATTATCTCCACTATCTTCCACATTTAACATTCTTTTTAAACATCACATAAATGAACTCAAATCTTTGTTACTTGAAAAAATACTTATGTAAAAATAGTATGGAAATTAGGAAAATCATTTGAATTATACATTCTGCAAATGTTAAAATGACATCTATGAAATCTATGTATTGATGATAGGAAATGACTTAAATGTATGTTTTATTATAATGTAGTTGCAAATAATGCAACTATCCTTCATTTCATTCATTCATCTTAATTCAGGGAAGCAAGAAGCTAAAACAGACCTTTCTTTTGATTTTGTGTCAGAGTAGGTGCTGAGTAAAAGACCTGAAACTCTCTCAAATCTCTAGATTCACAAGTGGGACATGGTGTGTCTCCAAGAGAACACAAAGTAAGAGAAAGTGTGTTGACATATTCAGTGATAGCAAGTTCTATTATAGGAAAAAGTGTATAACATCATTAAACAAGTTAATTCTATAGACTGTGTCAATTCTTGGAGTTATGAAATTTTAACAATGTTATCTAAACCTTGAGGTAAATCATCTTATTTAGTTATTTATTTGTTTATCATATGTCTTTCTTGGTACAATAAAAGCACCATAAAAGCAGAGATCATGTAGATCTTGCTTACTGTTGACTCCCAGGACCTAAAAGATCACATAAAAAATAGGTAGCCAAATATTTTGATGAACAAATAAATTAGTGAATACATGAATAAATTACATATATTGGGGTGGTGAACCAATGAAAATGAACCTCATCACAAAATCTACAGTTGCTTGAATTTTCCTGTTCTAGTTTCTGGTTGAGATTACAGGATTATCTAAGAAGAAGCATTTATCGGAGTAAAAGTGCGGCTATTCCATAATTGTAGGGGAAATATCACTATAATATAACCTTGATGCAGTTATATCAGATGAAAAACATGGAGACAAGGTGGAACATCAAAATCAGATGGCACCTACTACAATACCTACAAAAAAGCATATAACATATTTGTGGATGTTTTTATATATTTTCTCAATTGTGAATGATATATTTGTATTGTGATATTTCTAGCTAGTAATTATGTAAAGAAATGGCATTTAAATTTTAAAAATTGAGTTAGTTATGAATTACCTTACTAAAATGTGATTTTTATATAATATTTTAAATATCCTTTCTAAATGAACATTTTAATTGCTATATTATAAAAGTTACAGAAAAGTGAATGAATAATAAATTATACCACTGAATGCATATCTTAGCTTTAGGGGTCTAGAACTAGAGCCAATGTCTGATAATAATGTGATAACATTTCTTTGGAAAGTAAGTCCAGGGCAGCAATGGCAGGGACACGTGGAAATTCAGGCAAGAGCACGTGGAAATTGAGGCAACGGCAGACATGAAACAACGTGTTGGGATGCATTATAACAATGTGTTGTGTGTATGTGACTGTGTTGTGTCCATTTCACCACAAGGTGAGAGAGAGAGCATGGTGGTCATCAGATGCATGCACTTGGATCCCACTACTTTTCCAGAAAGCTGCAAGAGGAAACCACAGCCGCCATTAGTCCATGGAAGTGAGAGAGGAGGGAGAATATATCTGCTCAGCTGTCTTCTGTCTTCTATTTCCCATTGGCAAGGGTTTCCCTGAGGCAGAACCACCATCTCTGCTGTTCTCTTTTCCATCATCCGGTCCCTTGGTGGCTGTTATGAAAGACAGACCTCATGCCCACAGTGTGGTGTTCCATTCACGCCCCAATAGGAGGGATGGTAGGATGATCTAGATCAGGCAAGGTGGTGGCCTAGAGAATAAGAGACAGTTAAGGGAATCTGAGGAAGCACATGTTTGCGTCCAATACTGTCTACTCCTTGTACCACTCAGATTTGCTTATGTCTTCCAATCATGGCTGGCTTTATGGGCATATGATTTCCACAGTCGCACAGAGTCTTGTGCTTAGAGGCGCTCATGCTTAGAGGGGCAATGGTTAGTCTTCATATTGCCTGCTCTATTAGCAGCATTGAACCTGGTTTATTTGGGGGATGCTGCCCTTTTCTGATTTTATCATTGTTCACTGGGCACCTCTTCTCAATCTCCTTTGCTAGTTCTTTCTCTTGTCTCTAATCTTCTGCCCCTGCTGTTTGGTTTTTGAGACAGAGGGCGCTCCTCTGCTGAAGAGGGAATGGTCTTGCACTAATTCCCTAGGGGTTTTCGCTCCCCTCTCCTGTGGATTTGTCAGAGACTTGGACAGAGTCCTATAATGCCCACTATGCCTGCCTCTAGAATGTTTGAATTCTGCTGGATCATCTGGCACAATGGGCAGAGCAGCTTGGGCCAGACCCTATATCTGCTATGGAACCCTTTTTTGTTCTGGGTTCCACTTGAGACCAGTAGCCTTTGGAAATTCCATTAGTGAGTCACAGCAATATCCTCAAATGAGGAATATGTTGACTCCAAAATCCCAATAGGTCCAAAAAACACTGTGCCTTTTTCTTAGTGAGAAGAATTATGTATCAGGAAACGAGCCATTTACTTTAAAAAGGATGTTTTGACACAAGGACCAGCAGCATTGGACCTCTAAAAACACCATCTATGTTATAAGTCGCTGAATCTTCTGAGGTTTATGTCTCTCTTCTTCCAGTATTTTACTTCTGTTCAAAGTAATACTATTTCACTATATTTAAGGAACTTGCTACTTCTTCCTTATGAATACCAATTAAAGTAATATTATTAACATATTGAGTTAGCGTGATGTTTTGCAAAATGCCAATTAATCTGAAAACAGAAGTGACATAGCCCTAACATAAAACAGTGAAGCAGTGCTTTTCTTCTTACCACACCATACAAATTGTTTTGATTTTCTCTCATAATGCGTGTAGATTAAAAAGCATTCACCAAATCAAAAACCACATACAAAGTGCCAGAAACCACGTTCTGCTCAGTGAAGGTACCACGTCCTAGAGAGCGTCTGCAAGTGCGATTAAGTTTATGCTAATGTGCATTCATCCTATAATCCATCTGATGTCGGCAGAGGCCAGATAGGCTAACTGAATAGGGATATAAAATGTACCAACCCCCTCAGTGTTCATTATCAAAAGGAGTTAGGCTTCCTTTCAGTCGTTTATCTCCGCTTCTGTGAATTGGCTCAGTCCTGAGAACTGGCTGAGGGTCTTTGATTTGTCACATCAGAGGCTGATCTCAGGACTCAGCTTTTTCAACTCTTCTTTCCTCTTGGTTTATAGTCATTTAGCAAAGTATGAAGCCTCTTCAACTATTGGCCTATCAGCCTATTCCAATGAGTCTGTTGCTGTCACCACTCCATTAAATCTGACATTTGTTAAGATCACCAGTGAGTGCGTGTTGCCAATGGTTAGTCTTCATGTTGCATGCTCTATTAGCAGCATTGAACATGATTTATTGGGGGGATGCTGCCATCTTCTGATTTTATCGTTGTTCACTGGGCACCTCTTCTCAATCTCCTTTGCTGGTTCTTTCTCTTGTCTCTAAACTGAAAATGTCACACTCCCCAGGCTCTCAATTCTTCAATCTTTAATCAATCAGGCTTGTTTTGTTGGTGATCTCATGCCGTCTCCTTACTGATAATGTAGTCAAATGGTTCGATAGAGAGGAATAAGGCTGATTATTCATTTATATATTCATATATTATTTTAATATAGCAATGCAGATATTGGCAGATTAATACATGGGGGATTTTAATTATATAATGATCTACATATAATTATATAATGATATAAGTGAAGAAATACATAGATAGAATTATGGTTTACTAACCCATTTTTGACTTCTTGCATTTTGTACAATGTCTCAGTATCTGTATCTTATTTCTTAAGTTTTTTTCTCTATGATCAATTACTTATGAGTTAATTTTTGTGTACAGTATAAAATAAGGTTCTAAATTTATGGTTTTTTTCCTTCTCTTTTTACTCCCACTTCTTAGGTAAGTTCCTCTAGTCATGGCCTTACTTATTTTCTGTGTGTTGATGATGCCAACATTTAATCTTTCAGCTGAGATCTCAATGCTGGTCTCTGGAAGCCTTTCTCTAATAGCCTATTTGACATCTTCATTTGGATGCCTAACAAGAACTTGAACTAACATGTCCAAATCAAAATACTGTTCTTCCCTCCAATTGTCAGAATTGTGTCTTCTATAGTCTTTCCCTCTTCTGATAATGACCGCTCCAGACTTTCAGATGCTTAGACTAAAAAAATGGAGTCAACATTTTCTCTCTCAGAACTCATCTCTAAGGCATCAGCAAATTTTGTTGACTCTACCCTCAAAAACACAGAATCCAATCCCTTGTCATGACTCTGCCATACTAAACTGCTGCATATCCTGCCAGAATATTTGCCATCAGCTTCTAATTATTCTTTCGAGTTCTGCACATCCTTTTATCCTGATGTATTCTCAAGGCAGCGGCCAGAGAGAGCCTGCAAAAATGCAAATTTGATCATGCCATTCTTCTGCTCCAGATTTGTCAGTAACTTTCATCTAACTCAGAGTAAAGGCCAAATCCTTACAAAGTCTTACAGTCATTCGAATGATCTGATTAAAACACCAAACACCTGGCTCATCCCATGCTAGCAACACTGGCCTTTGTGTCACTTCTTGAATATGCCAAGCATCGCCTCAAGGACTTCATACTTGTACCCCTTCTTAGACTGCTTTTTCTCAGATATCAACACTGAACATTATCACTCCTCAGATA